GCTGTGGCATGATGTGTGGCCTACACACAGAGCTCCTGTAGGTATGGAAGTGACAGGATTGGTCTTGAACACTAGGAACAAGCCAGTCATGTTAATATGGTGTCATTCCAGCTGGCTCATGCAAACAATGTTGCACCACTGCACTGGATGCAGCCAGATGTGTACAACCATCATTGTGGCCAGTCTGGGGCCAGTTTTGGAACATAATGCTCTAGGCTGGCCCCAGACATATGGTCAATGCAAACAGGACCTGGGAGACTGTTAAGGGCAGGATTTTTAATGGGTGGCTACTGTGCATTTTTTCTTAATGTTCCCCAGAATACTATGTGGCAAACTGCACACACTGTAAGCCGCCTCTGGGATCAACAGGGTCTGTCCCCTTGTCAATCAAGAAGCAGCTGCTTGATGTTCCTACCCCATCCCATGAGTGATCTCCTGAGCAACAGACAGAAAATGTACCCCTGCTGCAAATCCCTGGTGTCAGAGATCACTCACATGAGGGGTGGGTGGGAACATCAGGCAACTCCTTCCTGGTCGACAGGGGTTTAGAGGACTTTCACAATCCTTATGTGGCCCCTAAATTGGGGGCCACGTAGGGATTGTGAATACATAGGAATTGCAAATGTGTAACTTTGGGTTAATTATTTGAAATTGCCTAAGAAGATTCAAGCTGTTGTTTTATTTTTTATTTCTATTTTTTTTTAAAAAAATGATTATGTTTTAATGCTATAAACATTTGTGTTTTGGCATTATAATTTTCTGTTTGTTTTTATTTTGCCTGTTTTTACCTGTATCTGATTTATTTGCTATGAGCTACCTTGAATCCAACTCCCAGGAGAAAGGAAGAATATAAGTCAAATCAAGAATCGGGTGTGGTAACCAATGGTGACACCTCCCCCATTTACCTCCTTCCATTTCACACAATACAGAATCTTTAGTAATGCTTTTTTCCATCAATGTAACTCACAAATCATAATTCCCATATACCACTGAATATAATGTGAATAGTTGTGACATGAACAATTTGCAAAATTAAAATTATACCTTCAAATTACAATATCATACGCACATCCTAAATGTATTGACATATACATAATGAACATTTGTTTAAAATGTGATGGTTAAAATTTAAAGAAAATTAAAAAGAAAAAAATTAAAATCTTTTTAAAAAATTCAAATTTTGAAAATTGAAATTTTAATTATAAAAAATTCTGGGGCCCCACCTATCTCTCCCACTGAGCTTCACCCTACTCCCACCATTTCTTAAAGCATTTTAAAGGGAAGGATGTGAATGCCACAGTCTGTTTCTGCCCAAAGGTAAGTGTTTGAGGGCCCATGGTGTCACCCCCCCCCAATTGGGATGTCACCTGGTGCAGTACGTATCCCCCTCATCCCCCAATGATGCTATTGACATCAATTCCTCTTTTAAATCTGTGAAATAAAGCCTTTAAATATAGAGGTGTTTTGCCAATTACACAGAAATACTGACAGAAGATTGCCCGTATTGGGAATATAAATACAATAAAATAAATTTCCAGCAGCAGTCTCTCCTCCCTACCCTTGCCACTCTCTCAAGGTTAATGTAGATGACACATTTATCATCTAGTCTGACCGAGAGAACACATGATTTACCTCACGCACATGTCTTGCATTTAGTATGCTTTATTTTAAGATTGGCTACTGGAAAGTAAATATGGGTCAGTTTGTAAGTCTTTGATAAGGTATGCCTTTCTAAGAAAAACTCACTGTAGGTGGGCAATTAGATTAATCTAGTTCCCACCTACAACAAGTTTTTCTTAGAAATACATATCTCAGCAAAGACTTTCCCTTTAACCTCTAATTTGATGCTACCATACATAGAGACACCTTCTTCTCACTTGAAAGGTCAAAGTCATACATTCACACAATGGCTGAAAAACCACAGCTTCTGATTTTCCAGTTGCAAAAGTTAATGCATAGACCTTGTTGAGGCTTAATGAGAAACCATTGTTTCCTGATTTATGAACAAGTCTGGAGAGGCGTTGGACTTCCATGTTCCTCACTCTCCTTTTGAGATGCTTTGTTGTTATGTGCCTTCAATTTGTTTCTGACATATGGAGACCCTAAGAGGTTTTCTTGGGAAGATTTGCTCAGAGGAGGTTTACCTTTGCCTTCCTCTGAGCCTGAGAGAGTCTGGCTTGCCCAAGGTTATCCAGTGGGTTTCCATGACCAAATGAAGATTCAACCTTGGTCTCCCAGGTCTTAGTCCAACACTTGAACCACTGCACCATGATGGTTCTCTTGAAATGCTACAAGGAAGAGATTGTACACCTTTCTTTGTGCTTTCAAACTGCTGTTAAAGCCTGTCTGCTCCTCTTTCTCCCACAGTTCTTTCCATATAATGTATGAAGCAATCTGCAAATGTCTTAACCATCCATGGACCAAATTCAATAGAGCAGCTCTTTCCAACCTGGACAGATCATGCTGTATGCACCTGCTGTATAGTAATAAAGATGAAGATACTAGTTAAAAAGGAAGCAGTAGCTCTAATCGGCACCAGAAACATGATTGCATATGCAGGGATACAGAGCCAAACTTATAAGAGAAGCATCCAAGTATTTCTGCCAGGATGGATTAATCTTTCCAGTTTTACTTTCTCTTTCATTCTGTTTTTTAAAATAGACTCTTTCTCTCATATTTATGAAAAACACCATGTTTGGAATGTTAGAGAGAGAGAGAGAGAATTTTCACTCATTCCTCTTTTAAAAACAAACCTCAGAGCTTCTCTGAATTCTGGGAATAGTGAGTTGTTATTATAAGCTATGATCAGACTGCAAAACCATAAGTTGTGTAAAAGTGGAAGAAAATGCAACTGATCTCCTTGTGCAAAAGGAAAGGAATATATATAACTGACACACATTAAGATTTATTATAGGTAGCATGTTACACAACTGACTTCTTATGTGTGAATCCTTAGAATCAAGCCAGCCACACTCTCACTGCGGTTGAAGACCACAGTTTAGAAAGTTTATATGTTTGCTTTTGGCTTTTTTTTTTCAACTGTAGAACGCCTCTGCCAGCATGGCCACTAAATTTCTACAAGGCTTTGCTCATATAAGTACAGTACTTGTGCAAAAGAAGAGAAAGGATGCAGAAGTTTTCTACTAGGCTATCATTAGTTTCTAGAATGTAGAATGTATACAGGGGGGAAAACATCTTTGTCAATAATGATTTTAAACATTGTGGGAAATATGCCCTTTTCCCCGAGATGCAATGAAAATATGGCATTCAGCTGATAGACAAGCAAGTGACCACTATTTACAGTGGGCCCTTCCTATACGTGGGGGAGCCATTGTGGACCCCCCCCCACGTAAAGGAAAAAACACGTATGTTCAAGCCCCATTTAAAACAATGAGTGCACACTCCCACCTTCAGCACAATGTGTGTGCCGTGGGCGCATGCACCCATTGTTTTAAATGGGGCTTGACTTCTGCATAAAGTTAACACCGTGTATGATGCACCTACTTCAAAAATGAATGGCTTGTATAATTCTTTATATGACTGTACCCATTAAATCAGAAAACCAACCATGAAATATTAATAACAAATAGTTTACAAAGTGAAAGCTCAGTTTTAATCACTGAGCTTGTCTACACCAGTGAAAAATGCCACACTCATCCAAATGCCAGTGCTGACAGTCCTCATGATATTTCTGAGGACAATCCATCTTTTCTTTTCTTTTTTGCCCTTATCCCAACCTTGCCCTGGACTAAACAAAAGTCAGGGGAAACTCCAGTGTTTCCCAGAAAGCCTGGATTGAACTTGGGTTCATTTTGTGTATGGACAGCTGGATTGGGTCTGATTCAGCTCCACATGCCAAGAACCATCTCCTTTCCTGCATTGAGCAGGGATGGGGTGTTTTGGGAGCCACTGCCACCACTTCTTCATGGACAGGAATTCCATATAAAGCCTGCATGACATGCCATTGCTTCTGTTGCAGTCCAGATGGGGTGCCCATGCGATCAACAAGAAGGGGATAGAGTGACCCCCTTCTTGTTGATCATATGGCAGTGGCACTGAGGGGATGGGTCAGCAGGGTTGACATGGTGTCAGCCTAGTTATCTTATATGCACAATGACTTGGAGTTACACTGGATTCAGCTCAGTGTTTGTGGTCATCATCATGGTTTGTATGGGGTCGCTCCAGGACACTCCAGACCAGCCCCAGATTAAGTGGCCAGTGTAGATGCATCCCCTGTCTTGTTAAAGTAGGGTATACAAAAACTCTTTTAGGGGGGAAAAACCATATCCCATAACATTTTGTTTCTGAAAAATTAGCTTCTGAACATACACCTCAATGCAGGGTTAGCAACACTTGGTGCAATTTTGAGTTGTACTTATTTTAGTGGAAGAATTTAATACCAACACAACATTCTTCACTTGAAACTGTGGAGTCCCAAAAGTTCTTAACTACTATTTTCCCATGCCCCATTGTAGGCATGGAAAGACTTCAAAAGTTTTTTTGGGGGGTGAGAAAGAGGAACTTTTCCAGTATCAGGGAACAAACAGTGAATAGAATTTTGCTCAAGACCTTTTCTTGTTTATTATCTAGTCTTTGAGTAGATTTGAAAAGACCCAGTAGTGGTTTGCTAGTTGGACTATGACTCTGGAGAACAGGGTTCAAATCATAGCTTGGCCATGGAGGCTCATTGGGTGACCTTGGACAAGTCACATGCTCTCAGCCTCAGAGGATGGCAATGGCAAAATTTCTCTGAACAAATCTTGCCAAGAAAGCCCCATGGCAGGTTTGCCTTAGGTGTCACCATAAGTCAAAAACAACTTGAAGGCACACAACAACAACAGCAACAACAATCCAAAGAAATGCCTGGATACCTCTTTCTGGTTTTTAAGGGGCCAATCATAAATGAATATTGCAAAGAAAATCAACTTTTAAATCAAAACCATTACAGGCTTAAATCAATGCAACAAATTATTTATTAAACTAAACACATATTCAAGAGAGACAGCATGGTATAGTGTTTTGAGCTTTGGACTAGGACTCTGGAGACCAGGGTTTGAATCCCTGCTTAGTCATGAAAACACAGAGGTAACCTTGGGCAAGTCACACTCTCTCAGCCTCAGAGGAAGGCAAAGGCAGCCTTTCTCTGAACAACTCTTGACCAAAAAAAAAAAAAAAAAACTGATAGGTTCACCTTAGGGCTACTATAAGTCAGAAACGACTTGAAGGCAAACAACAACAACATCTATCTAACAAGGTGTCAGAATGTGCTGCTTGGTAGTACAGCAAACTTGGAAGCAAACCTTAAAGCCCTAAATAAAAGATAAAAGATAGCTAGACATGCATAAGAGAAATCCCACTGTAAGGAATTTACTCTTTTATTCCCTTCTTAATGTACATCAATGAAAATCTTACTACTTTGCTCAAGGTGAAAAGGCTAATCTTTTTCCTTGGGATCTACCGCTCCTCTCCAGCTTTCTCTCTCTTTTTGATCTAGTAAAAATACCCCCTTTAGAGTTTTCCAACCTGCTGGGCCAAACCATAATTCATAGGGATTACACCTGCATCAGAAAGAAAATTAATTAAATTATTTATTCTTCTCTGTGGGAATTACTAATTTAAGAAAGCACACCCCTACCCCATGGAAACAAATAATTAATATTGCAGTGTTTGGAGGAGGACATATGTGCCAATGGCTTCAAATTAATTACCAATTTTCTGGAACTAGTAGCTGGTAAATCACTATCCCTATGTGGCTTTTCTTGTGTTTCTTATTTTTTAAAATTGTTCATGTGCACTCTGCAGTACCTTGGCCTTGGAGGTGTGGCTGGCATCACCATTGCAATTGTTTTGGCACTAGCTCAAAACATTTTTGCTTGCCAGGGTTTTTTAATTAGTTTATTTGGATGCTTTTATCAGGTTTTGTTGCTGTTCTTTGCTTCAATTGCATGTTGGGGAGTTGTTATTGTTTTTAATTATATCTCACTATTTAAACTATATTTGTACAGAGCCCCAGTGTACATTCTGTAATGATGAAGGGCAATTTAAAAAGTTTTACTAAAATGATTATTATTATTATTCATATGCATTGGATTTGCAGCTTTGTTCTAGTGCATCTCACTATCATTTTAGCCTTGAGTCATTGAGAATTGTGTAGGAGATAAACTGAGAAAAAGGCTTATTGTTGTTGGTGCCTTCAAGTCATTTCCAACTTATGAGGAGCCTAAAGTGAACCTATCACAGGGTTCATTTGGCAAGATTCTTCAGAGGGGCTTTCCCATTGCCATCCTCTGAGAGCATATAACTTGCCCAAGGTCGCTCAGTGGGTTTCATGGTTCAGCAGGGATTTGAACAATAGTTCCAGAATAATAGTTCAACAATCAAGCCACTATGCCACACTGGCTGAAAAAGTGGTTGCCCCCTCATTTAATATGGTTTTAGCCATAAGTGTGTGTGTGTGTCTGCTTTCAGGTTGGCTGTTGACTTATGTTGACTCCATTAATTTCATAGGGTTCTCCTAGGCAAGGAATAGTCAGAGGAGCCTTGCTATATATATTATACACTAATATAAGTTAAACAATTTAAAACAATAATTTGGACACAAACTAAAAACATCAATAATCATAATTACTTCAAAACAGATTTTAAAGATTTTAAAACTAGGTACAACAGTTTTGGGGGTACATTAAAGAGGCCCAAAGGCCTTGATGAACAGCCATGTTTTCACTTGGTACCTAAATGAAATGAGTTTTGATGTGAACTGGGCCTCCAAAGGGAGGGTACTCCATAGTTGGCATGTTGTATCTGAGAAGGTGATATCTTTTGTCCCCTCAACAGTGGGATATGGAGGCCCCCATAGCAGAAATTAGTCCTTGGGCAGGAATATATAGGGAGAGACACTCCCTCGAGTATCATGGTCCCAAGCTGTTTCATAGAATCATAGGATCATAGAGCTGGAAGAAACCACAAAGGCCATCCAGTCCAACCCCCTGCCATGCAGGAAGGCACTACTGACCGATGGCCATCCAACCTCTGTTTAAAAGCCTCCAAGGAAGGAGACTCCGCCATACTCTGAGAGAGTGTGTTCCGCTGTCAAACAGCTCTCACTGTCAGGAGGTTATTCCTAATGTTAAGATGGAATCGCTTTTCCTATAGTTTGCATCTATTGCTCCAGGTCCTGTTCTCTGGAACTGCAGAAAACAAGCTTGCTACATCCTCAATATGCTATCCCTTCAAATATTTAAACAGGATGATCATATCACCTATTATTTTTTTAACTGTTTGGAGCTTTTAATTTTATCACAAACACTTAAGTTCTGGACTGGAACTTGACTGGAAATGTACTGGCAGCCTATGAAATTCTTTTAGGGGTGACATTATATGCTTTCTATATGTTACTTCAGTCAGTAGTAGAGCTGCTGAATTTTGCACTAACTGTAGCATCTGAGTCTTCTTCAAGGCCAGCTCTACCTAGAATACATTACAGTAATCAGATTGTGAGGTTACTAGTGCATGGATTTCTGTGGCTAGGTTCTCTCTGTTAAGGAAAGGCCAAAGATGGAGCACCATTTGAAGCTAATAATAATAATAATAATAATAATGATAATTTTATTTATACCCTGCCTTTTGCAGAGCAATCAAGGTGGCTTACAACTAAAATAAATTGAGTAAAACGATCTCAGGATAAACAATAAACAAAGTTACAATAAGAATAGCCCCCATTAAAAATATATTAAATAAACATGTCAGTTAAAAACACAACATAGAATTAAAACATTAGCTCTCTAGGACACAGTGAGAAAGTCGGGGGGGGGTATCTAATGGGAGGGAGATCAGGTAGTCTATTATGGGTAGGCCAGAAGAGATCTGTCTTGATGGCTTTTTTAAAGGCATCTAAGCTGGTTATATGACGGATCTCCTCTGGCAGGGTGTTCCAGAATCTGGGGGTTGTGGTGGAGAATGTCCTCTGGGAGGTCACCGCTAACCTCTTTTTTATCGGTTGAAGCAGCTTCCTCCCAGAGGCCTGAGGGTGCGGGGCAGATTATATGGAAGAAGGTTCTCCAAACCACATAGTCCACTTAGGTCTCCAGTGACAGGGATGAAATTAAGAGTATTCTCAAAGTATACACCTGATTCTCTGGGGAAGTACAACCCCATCCAGAACTGGTCCTTTACCCAATTCCCAGATCCAAGAACCACCAGATCCTGTCTTATCAGGATTCAACTTCAGTTTATTGGCCCTCATTCAGCCCATTGCAGACACTACCCCAGCATTTATACAGCCCCAGATTACTCTGATGACAAGGAAAAATGGATCTGAGTGTCATCAGCATAATGATGTCACTCCACTCCAAACCAGTTTATGACTTCATATAGATATTGAATAGTATGTGGGATATGACTGAACCCTGTGACCCCACAGCGTAATAGGTTAACATGAATTTCCCAATGCTTCTCTCTGGAACTAGACCTCTAAATAGTAGAACCACTGTAGAAGAGTGCCTCATACTCCCATACCATGGAGCCAGTCCAGTAAGATGCATGATCAATGGTATCAATAACTACTGAGAGATCCAGGAAGATCAAGAGAGTAGTACTTTCCCTGTCTTTTCCCTGGAGTAGGTCATCAATCAAAACAACTAAGACTGTTTCAGTGCCATGCCCTGGCCTTATACCAAACTGAAATGGGTCCAGATAATCTGTTTCCTCAACCAAAAAAAAAAAAGGAAGGAAGGAAGGAAGCACCCAAAAGCTTTTTCTGATAGGATGCCAGTTCTGTACTTAATGACAAATTCAGGATGAGATGAAAGGAACACAGTCTCCATGAACTGTACAGCCATTTTAAAAAACATGTCATAAAAATGTAATTAGAAAAACACACAGGTTTATTATTTGGAATTCTGTTAGCATCTCATTAGAATTTTATAGAGCCCTCAAGTACCCTGGACTGGGTTCAGAGTCTGCTAAATGTGTTTTCATCTTCCTTGTCCAGCTGAGCTGAGAGAAAGTGGGGTATATTCACAGATGGAACAAGATAAGTTCAATGCTGCAGTTCTTTAGGGGGAAAATTAGAACACAGAAATGTCAGAAGAAATCCAAATTAATCTCCTCATGAAAAGGTGGTACACATTGCAGCTCTAGGCAGTGTTTCTGTGAACGGCTTACTTTTTTTTGCCTCTTTGTGTGCTATCAATAAGAACATCTTCTGAGGCAAAGAAATAGCTTCAGTGATGTTCACATGTGTTACGCCAGTTATTACCATAACTCGTAAGACTGTCTGGGTTACAGACTGGAGTTGCTCCTTGGACAACAGGCAGGCAGCCTGCCCTGAGCTCCATCTGTTAGAGATCAAAAATAACTTTCCATTCAGTTTCCCTGAATCTGTTAACATTTCTTTCTATGTGTGATTGGTGTAATGTTTTAAAGGCCAAACTTAAAACTAAAGTCAGCCCTCCATTTCCTTGGGGGATCTGTTCCAGACCCACCCACCTCCGGCAAAAACAGAGATTTGCCAATATTCAAGCTCCATAGGCTTGAATGGGTTGTGCACACTGGGGTGTGCTCCAATGATTTTAATGAGGTTGCCCCTCTGTGAATATGCAAAACTGCAGACTTCATGGAGGGGCGATTGTATATATTATGATAATTTTATATAAAAAAAGTGTCCTTTGACCAGCCACTTTGATTTTGAAGAAAAGGTCTCTGGGTGAGTTAGTTAGAAAGACATGTTAACAGACTCAGGCTTCTACTCCAAACAGAGGGGCAAAATCAGTTTCTTTTCAAGAAGAAGAGGGGCCCTGCCTTATATCCCACAGTGGAAGCAATGTATTGTGTGAAGAAGTGTGAATGAACTTTCTCTACAATGATGCTCAGATCAGGAACACATTGAAGACAAAAGCCTGGTTCTATCTACTTTTTTTCTGAAATAAAAGCAGCTAGTTTAAACATATTTTCTTTCTCTTCCCTCTCTCATCCCCCCCATATGTTAATTATAATACAGGTATATCTCAATTGACAAAGGGAATTAGTCCCTGGGTATTTTTGTCTTTAACAGAAAATTTGATACTAGAGGCAG